CACAAGTGAAAGTATAAAATTTGATAAAATCTTTCTGAAGGACATCTTACTTGTGCATATGCAAAGCCTGAAATATATGCATTCTTTCTGATTCAGCAAATCACAGCAGAAAATAAGGAAATCATCAAGGATGCATTTACAAACATGTTTACCCTCATTGTCTATGGTAGTTACAATTGGAAATAACAAGCATCTGATAATACAGAATTTAAAGACCTTGGGAAAGTCCATACAATGACAAGTAGATGAAAATGATGGAGAAATAGTCACAGCCTATTGGTAAGTAAAGATTCAGTTACAAAACAGTATTTCTAGTCCATATTTTTGTAAAACAATGAAAAGAATAAGAATTAAAATAATACTTGCTGCAGTAGCAATTTTGGCTATTTCTTGATGACAGCAAAAGGTGATATTTGCCTCTATCTTTTTTTTCCTGTATGTGATAATTTTTCTGCAGTGAACATTGTATGCATAAGCTTGACTTTGGCTGCAGATAAAAAAAAATCCAAGCTATAGTGACTCAGTACCAACATCTGAAATTTTTCTCGACTTTTCCTTCTGGCCTTACTGTGACCTCCCCCCTCCCACCAGATATAACATATGCATTCAGAAAGAGAAGAAAGGGCAGGAAGGACTAAAACAAAGACAGGAGGATTGCTGTGAGTTCGAGTGTGACTATGCTACATCTGGGCTACACAGTGAGATCCTGTCTAAAAAAATAATAATAATTTTTAAAAAGAATAAAACAAGGACCAGAGCTCCATGGTAGACTTCAGCCTAATTGGGCAGATTTGTATTACATGACTGTCACTAGCTGGAAAGGGGAAGAGAGGACTCTTGGACATGGTGTTGAGTCAGCCACTTTGCAAAGTCTGCCATAAACAGGTATGTCTTTTATAATTAAAAAAAAAATAGAGTTTCTGAAATTTTAAAACAAGTTGTTTCTTTTTCTTTCTTTCTTTCTTTTTTTTTTCTTTACTGCTTTAATGCCTCACTCCCTCCAGGCACCCTTCCACCCACTCAGGCTGCTACAGTCAGCAAACTCACACTGCCAGAGCTAAGGGGGTGAGGAAGAATGAAGAAACCAGAGCTGAGGCTGCGCCCTTCTAGGCAGTGGGAGTGGAGAGATGGGCCGTGTGCCAGGGGACTGAAAAACGACGAGCTGGCTTGTTCAGTCAACCTCAGCGGGTCTCTCTGGTCTGAGTTTCAGGCTCTGAAAGCTTATCAGGAGAGACTTTTGCAACTTCTGTACTTCTGGCCCTGTTCTTATTTTCTAGATGGTGCAGACCTGGCTTGGTATTTTCCCCCTGCTTGCTTTGGTCTCAGGAGGCCATCCCAAATAAACAACATGACCGCAAGACCTGAGGAGGGAATGGACTGAACTGCCCGGGTACAGGTCCTGGCTGGATGCTTCCTTCTCTCTCTGTGTTCCTGGACAACTTTCTCTGAGTTTCTGCTTCCTGCAAATGGGAATAAAGAGTCTGCATTTCATACAGGTGTTGTGAAAGATTAGATGAATCAGTGTTTGTCAAGTGTTTAGAAGGAGCCTGTCACATAGTAAGTTTGATGAAAGTACTTGTTTAATAAATAAATAAATATGAGAAAAGCAGAAACTGTCCTAAGCCGTCTGGGCTTTGTTTGATGTTATTTATATCTTAATTGATATAAAGCTACAAAAAAGGGCTGAATTTTTTTTGTTGTTGTTCCCTGAAGGCTGCTCTACGTGGTCTTAATGGTAGGTAGGAAGGAGAATGTACAAGGAGCTAAGAGCTACAAAGCACCTACTGAGTGGCAAACTTCCTAACATGTTATATGCAGCAGCTCACGTGAGGCTCAGGAAGTAGGTGTATCACTGCCCTCACTTTACAGGTAGGAAAAACCATAGCTCAGAGGGGTGAAATAATTGACCACAGTCATATCCCTTTGGGTGTAGAGCTGAGAGCCAGCCCAGGCATGTGTGACTCTGATGCCTGCATTGGCCGTATTATGAATGATGTGGCTGGGTGTGGAGGCTTGTTCTGTAATCCCAGCACTCTGGGAGGCTGAGGCAGGCAGAGCTCAAATTTGAACCCCTCCTGGATAATTCAATGACTTAGCAAGACTTTGTCTCAAAACTTTTTTAAAAAGAACTGGGGATGTAGCTCAGTGAGATTTGGGTTCACTTCCCAGTGCTGAAAATTAAAAAAGTATAAAAGATATATACCAGGTAGACTTCACTTACTTGATCCTAAAAGGTTAACATACTGACCAATTCCTAGTTTAAATGTAGTTGAGATTTTACTTAAAGGCCCTGGTAATAAATCCTTCTGTAAAATACTATTTCTCTATATTTGGTTTGACAAGTTTGAATTTACACATACTGTGTTATCTTACAATATAATGCATCTCTATTGTTCCAAAATTAAACTCCAGGTGTGGAATTTAGCTGAGATTCTAAGAGTTGTGGATCTTTCTCTGACTGATGATCTCTGTGTTCTAAAATATATGAAGCACCGTAAGCTCTACTTTACACCAACAGACGACCACCTTTGTAGCCCGCCCCAGCCACACTATCTTGAAGTTCCAGCCTACTTTAGGCCAGGTGAAATCATCAATAATTAACAACAGGAATATCTTGTGGGTCCAAATTCCTCCCCAGCTAGCAACAGAATTCCTTCCTGCTCTCTGATCCTTCATTGCTACCTTTGCAAATGCCAGTTCCAAAGACAGAGTGAGAACCAACCATTATTGCTCAATATTTTTATAATGACTCCGACCGTGTTTGAGCAGAATAGACATGTTCAGGGAGAGTTCCCTGTTCTTTTCCTTTGGGGGGGGGAGAAAGAAAGGAAGGAAGGAAGGAAGGAAGGAAGGAAGGAAGGAAGGAAGGAAGGAAAGAAGGAAGGAAAAGAAATCACTAAACCCCACCCTACCCTAGCCTTAGCCTCTAAAGTTCTGGAGTCTGTAGCGCCTGAGATAAAGCCAAGATAAAAAGAATTGAAAATAAAATAAGTTAAAAAAAATACTTTTGTTCGCAGCTCACATACACACCCACCCCAAGTTGCAGAGCACCAGGTGATCTGACCCAGCCAGTCACCTCTGAGGCCTACGAGGGAGTGGCGGTGGCCCTGGACCTGTCATTGGTCAGCCTCCAGTTCTATCCCAAGGACATTAACCCTTTCAGAAGATGACACATGCTAATCTCCACCAGCAGCCCCCAACTTCTTACTCTTAATGCTTTCCCTTTTATACTCTTGGCTTTATAATAGTTCCCATCCTTGGGTGGGGGTGTTAGAGGGTACAAATAGCCCACATGCAGCTGCAAGGAAGCTCTGAAGTGAATATCTTACGGGTGGGGCATGTGGTAGGCAGGAGAGACCAGAGAGAGATTAGGTAAAACATTAGCCACAGTCTTTTGGAGTGAGTCCAGTGTCTTTCAATGATTTCTTTATGTGCTTTGGGTGCTGGGCCTATTTGGCAGGGGACACGTACTCATTAGACTTTTTCACAAGGATTTGCCACGTTACAGTTCTGAACATGTGAACTCCTCACCAAGGATACTTGTGTTTTTATCATCTTTCCCCCATGTCTCCCAAGGGAGCTATAGGGAAAAGCACTCCAAGCAAATGAATCCAAATCACTAGGTAATGTTCTAAAAATAATAAATGTTGCTATTGTCTGGATCTCTTTCAAATTTGAGCTCATTTTGTGAGCTGGAAGATCCATATGTCAAATTGCATGTATATTATTTTTTATTAAAGGGTAAGTAGACCACTGCATAGAAGCAGGTAAATTATTGAAACACAAATTGAATGATTCTCAGAATACCCGACTGGATTTCAGCTAACTTAATTAAGCATTGGTCAAGGGCGGGTAGGGTCCGTGTTTCCTTGACTTGTCTCCATGAGCCAGCCTTGCAAGTTGGGATAGGCCAGAGGCTCAGCTCTCCAAAAAGAATTTGACGAAATTAAGGTGCAGAGTTAGTATCATAATAAAAAGGAAATATATTGTTTTGTCTGCTTGAGCTTCCCTTACCTATTAAAGGAAGATATACTATTCCTAGAGAAAGGTAAAAGAACTGGAAAATATTGAAAAAAAATTCTAAAATGTTTGTAGATAATAACAACAGCAACAAGAAGTAAATATTATTATCATCATATTTTCAAAATACTTTCTGGGAGATGAGCTCCAAAAAATGTTTTATATGAAAAGAATCTTGTAGTTGGGTTCAAAGTCTACATGCTGCCCTGGAAGGAGCCTGAGTAAACTTCAAGGTAAGGCTGGGAATGAAAATCTGTAGTGAGAAAATGGAAAGTGGTATTGATTGGATGAAATCTTGTAATTAGTACAGTTCTCTTGTTTTTCAATTGGCATTTCCTGCTACAAGATGCCCCCAAATATCCATGGTCCAGGCTTTTATAGATCTAGATGCAAACCACCCAGGGCCCTAGATGATCGTTTATTCATGTCAGACAAGGGTACTAGATCAGTGTGATTGTGAGGAAAAAAAAAATAGGAGCAATGACTCTCCTGGCTACATTCATCGTACATGTTCCTTTGTTTCTAAATCTCTCCTGCTGTTATTGGGCTAAATCACAAGGATATTTCCCACCTAAGAAACCTCACCTGGCCTGAGACTGCTCCTTTGATAATTCCCATGTCTTTATTCTCAGAAAGGTTGACTGCAGTGCTACTGATCCAGCCTTCCTTAGCCACCCTCCATTAATCATGGCTGGCAGGAGATACCAGAGGGTCATGGGTAATTGAATTCCAGCCAACCTTCAGACCTAATTCAGATCAACCCTTGACCTCTTTCCTGACCAAATCTGCTGCCAGGGCTAGTCAATAAATATTGTTTTTAAATTCAAAGAAACCTTTTGCAAGTGCCTACTACCCATTAGCTTTGTAAGAGATGTATCCATTATCTCACCTCTTTCATTCATTCTGTCCACACTTCCCTGGAACCCAGACACAAGGAATTAACAGATAGTAGAGAGGAGAGTAGGGTCATCTCGAGGTCAGTGGAGTAGGGAAACGTGTGCTTGCCAGACACCCTGACTTCCCATTATTGCACAGATAGATCTTCAGCATCGACAGAAAGCCCGAAGCCCTCTCCACATAGGAAAATGGATGAGAAGCATTTTCTCTGCTCTCAGAGAGAAGCTGTGCTTTCCAAAGACTCCTATTCAAGCTCTCACTCTGTCATATTAGATGTGGAATATCAGGTATGTTATGTCACTTCTGTGGGGCTCAGGGTCCTTATCTGTGATGTGGAACACTTGTGGGTGTGTGAGGAGAGCTGGTTACATCACTGACCTGGTGGGAATCTGGGGAGAATTTGGAGACTGAGATAATGGATTGGGAAGCTCTTGGTAAACTGTAAGGCTCCTCACACCTGGGAGATTATTCCACACCTCTCGGTTAAAACTCCAACCAGCAGTCAAACCTGTAAACAGAGACTGGGGAACAAAGATTTAGACAAACAGTGCACACTCTAATTGTAAAGAAGTTTGGGCAGAATTGTCTCAAGAAATCTTCTTTATTTTGTTTGATGAGTCTTTGGATCACCTTCATGCCTACAGAGTGTACACATGATCTTGATTTTGATGCCAGAATGCTTTTGAGGTATTTCCCCGTTTCCAGAAAATGCAGCCCTTACTTCCTCCTTCAAGATGAGGCCACGCCACACTCCACCTCCTATTTCTCATCCCCAGATAGTTTAAAACCAGCTCACGAGGGGGGTGGGGTGGGGGAGCTGTGAGTGTTCCACTGTCACCAACCCTCCAACCCATAATGAAGATAGCACTGAATTGCTACAAATAATATTCTTGGCAGCGATATCTATTTTTTTTTTTTTTAAGTAGTGATGAGGCAAGGTTGTATAGAGGTTTGTTCAGGGAAAAAAATGTGCTTGAATAATTTACTTTCTCATTTTAATTCCAAAATGACGTGAGGCCCCCAAAATATACCAAGTAGCATGGGGACCCTGAGTAGCCCAGAGAGGCTGTGTTTAAGTGGCAGTGCTAATGGCATTATTTAAAGCTTCTGGATAGGTGCCTGCTGCTAGAGACCCAGGCAAAGATGAGGTATCATGGGAGGTAAATACTAAAGCAGAGACCTTACTGTTTATTTTCCTTGCTGCTGTGTAATCTCCTCCACTATTTAACTTCATTAGCATCCCTGCTGTCCTGGGGCCACACAATTTCACTTAAAAGATAGAAATTAAATAACACAAACCCACATGTAATTGTAAACAAAGCTGTGGGAGATGTGGGTTGGGATTCTTTTGCTACTATAGTTGGTGGCAAACAAGTGTTTCCTTTTACCTTATTATCTTCTCTCTTATAATAATGAGAGCAACATTTGCCAAATGCTCACAGTGGACCATACCTTGTGTGGAGTCTTTTGTATACATTGTTCTATTTATTTCTGCCTACAACAATTCGATGAATTGAGTATGGGTAAGGGAAACTGTGTGTCAGAGAGGTGAAGTCCTCAAGGTCAAATGACTTATGAGCTATGGATGAGGGTTTCAACCCTGGTAGATTGGCCCCAACTGTTTCCAGAAAAATCATGAGACCACACAAGTGCCAACATCTCCAGTCTAGACTGTTATCGATGGGGCTAGGCAATTTAATTGCCTCCACAGCTGCCGGTGCTATCTTTATTAAAATGACTGCCAAATCTCCCATCTGGTCTTTGGTTCAGTTTTGTATTTCTGTTTTATTGAGAAAGTATTTGCATTCAAGTCCGTGTGGTCAAGACAAGGCTTTTGAACTCATCCCTGAAGGCCTTCGCCTTGGACAAGTTCCCAGTCCTCTTTGGCCAATCTGTAAGCAATCAATGTCTTCCCAGTCTTATCATCATGAAAACTACATACAGGAAAGCCTGAAAAAGTATTTCAGTGCACATCTGTCAAGCCTTCCCCAAATTTAACAACTGTTAACATTTTCCCAGATTTGGTTTATGAATCAATCAATCTTTTTATCCATTTTTCTTTTTGAACCACTTGAATGTTCTTTTCAGAACTCATATCACTTTAGCCCTAAATACTTCAGTATGTATCTCCTAAAAATAGAAAATGTTTCCTATGTGACCATATGTGGCTGCTATATCAGACCTGAGAAAATTAACATCATTATATCATCTACTATCCAGTATAATCGTAGTAATTTCTTAACTGTTCCCCAACTATTTTTGTAGCTTTTTTAAAAGTTGCATGTAATAGATTGTTAGTGTTGTAAAACTAGAAGCTCCTTAAGAATGTCGTTTTTTGGATGATTCACTTGTTTTCTATTCATAAGGGTCTCTACTAGTCCCTGTGGTCTGCCCTCAACCATCCGTAAACTGTACTCCAGAATTTCTACAGGGAGGAGCTTGAGAAGGGAAGTAATATGGTTACAAGGAGTAGGAGTAAGTGGTCATTTGCACAAGAAAACACTTAAATAACAAACAGACTGTTAATTTATTTGTCGTGGATGTTGCCCTATGGTTGTCTTTCCTGTAGAAGAGATGATAAATGGTACCTGGAATAGTGTGGACTCTGAACAAGCTTTGCTTCTTCCAAGCTGTGTGACTCTGAACAAGTTGATCTGTTACTTATCATTTGGAAAATGTGGTGTGTTAATAATGGAATATAATTCACAGAGTTGTACTGCAACAAATTAGTGAAGCTGAGAGGAGAAGATCCACATGTGGCAGCCATTATCATTATAGATATTTTTCTTCCACCTTCTAACAACTTTCTTCTCTGGTCACTTCCTGGAACTGAAGCCTCTAACACTTCTGGCCCTCTGATAATTTTCCACCTTTTCCTTTACTTTGTGTTCAATTTATTTTGGTTGGCCAGGGAACGTTTGGTTTGTCTTCATCCTCTTTCCTCTCTCCAATCCCCTGTTCTTTTTCACAGCCAAATTAAAAAACAAAACAAAACAAAAAAAACATTTGATTGTATTTTCTTCTGTTGGATTGTGTCTAGGTCAGCTTCCTCCCTTTTCATATGGAGGCACAGATTCATCCTTTAACTTAAAATAAAGTTAAATTTGTTGCTTCTAATCCTGCACTTTCCTGCTGGAGTGACCCCTAAAGCTCCTTGGCCCCCATCGATCCATCCATCCATCCACTCAGCCACTGATATTCTTCTGGGCCTCATGAGTAACAGTACCAGCTAGAGACTGAAGATACAGTGGTGAACTAGACATAGTCTTGCCTGTGTGAAAATAACCAATTACTCAGAATGAATCTACACTGCAGTTAGAAACCAGCTGAACCAGATAATTCTGGACCCTCCCTATACCTGGACCACATATGAGAATCTGGTAGTGGTTGAAGGGAATGCTAAGTGATCACTTTCTCCAATAGGGAATTTTCTATTGTTTTGAAATTCCTGTTATTAGAGTACCACTATAGCAGCGAGAATCATTTCCTGCAAGTTCTTGAAACATTTCTAGAATCATTTGAAGTGTTAGCTATAACTGACTACTCCTCTATTTCCATAAAAGTACATAACCGTTCTTGAAACAAGTTCTTCATCTGAAGAATGGGGGCAATGATAGTACCCACAGTATAAAGTTGTTATAAATATAAAATGAGTTAGTATTAGTCAAATGCTTAGAATGCGATGTGGATGTATGTGTTTGATGAAGAAACAAAACTAAGGTTGTTGAGAGATTATGATGGAGTCGGTCATAAGAGAATGGGACCCAGAGCAGGTGAGCTTTGCGGGGTAAGGAAAGAAGGATGGGAGTGTGAGGCCTGACTTAGGCAGCAGACAAGGCAGAATCACTTGAAGAAACTCTGGAGAGAACAATGAAAGTCAAAGATTAACTTTGACTAATTCATAATTTAAAACAAAAAAAATTGACCTCATCCACTGCCTTTACTCTGAGTTCTGGACTCAAAGCAACCTCTTCCAAAACAAACACAGCATCATTTGGTGTGTACTGGCAAAGAAACTTGATGAGGGACAATTCTCCATGGGTCTCTAGTTTCGGTATATCTTGTGACCACCTTTGTTCTACAGTGTCTTTTCAAGAATGTTTGTACAGTAAACAGTTTTGGGAGAGAGAGGTACTCCCTCCAGAGCAAAGGGCAGAATGTTTACTGCCATTATAAAAAATCTCAGATTCCCTGAGTTCAGCTTCCTATCTGCAACAAAACTCCTTGTGGGAAAAGAAGTTGCCTGGCCCTCTTCTCATTAACCTGCAGGTTAGGTCAGAGCGCTAACAAATGCTGATGCTCTGGTTGCTGTAAATTATAAGCTATACTTCATCTCTGGCTAGAGTCTCATGTCTCTTTCCTCATGCAGAAAACTGTGGCAGACTAACATGTTAACTTGCAAGTAGGGTAAAGTTTCAGCTCTGACTTCACATTTTCTGACAACTGCTACATTCCGAATTTCACCCATGCTCACAGCTCCTTGCTAGGGCTAGCAGTCCAGTGCGGTTCTTTGAGAATGAGAGTGATCATGGCTTATGCCACATGATCCTGCTAATTGGACAAGGGAAAGCATATCAACCAAAGGTAACATATAGGACGGCAGTGATGAGCCACAGAGGGCTGTTTGTTACCATTGAAAGCTCTTGAGAGTTTCATCGTCACTGCTAGAGGCCAACTAGTGGCCCATGAATTTGTCTAATGTGCAAGCTTTGCCCATTGGTGGTAAGTGGACCAATCAGATCCTCTGTTTCAGGAATTTGAATTCATAACACAAACAAAGTGTCTGTTATAGTAGTATGAGCAGCCATGGAAAGACTCACAGAGGCAGAAGCAAACAGTGGCTGAGCCTCTGAGCCCCCAAATACTGGAATAACAAGGAATCTCTCTGCCAGTAAGACCAGGAGAAAACCTTTGGGAAAACTTCTCTCTAATGCTCAGACTATGGTACAATGTCCCTGAGCCTTGACCTCAAACTTGTTATGCCTTCAGCCTTCCTTTTCATGACTCTTGATTGCTCATCAATTTCCATTTTCTTTAGGGCCTGGCAAAGAGGCTGAAAGAGGTGCCCATTTCCCTTACGTGCAATAAAGGGAAAGATCTCACTATTAAATAATGCAATTATTACCGCCTCCCTGATCCTTCCTTTTTTTGCTTACCCATCCAGGTCCTCATCTAGAAATGGACCCCTATTCATTTGTCATCCAGGTCTCATCTGCACCCTCTCTTACCCCAGCTCCTCTGGAATTCAGGTCTATGTGCCATTTGAACAAGAACACAGGTTGTCCAT